TCTTAAGCTCTGAGCATGGGGCTTCGCTGACTTTCTTCGGATTGCCCCCGATGTCCGCCTTCGTTCGTAGGTCGTCTTCTTTGGCCGCCGCTGCTGGTTTCGCGGCTGCTGCTGCGCGTGCCAGCGCGGTCGCGACATTCCTGTTAGTGAGGGGGTCCATCTAAGAAGATGCGACGGCGGCATTCGCCACGTCGGCAGCGAATCCAGAATTCTAAGTATTTACCGTTATCGTTTTCGCGCAACTGATATGCGCTGTCAAATTCCGTGGAGCGCAGAGAGAGAGAGAGAGAGAGAGAGAGATAGATGTAAATATATAGAGACGAGGCAGCGCTCACTGCTGGGGGGCTCGTCCCCGAGCGACTGCTCAAGAAGGCATTCCTGCGGACTGCCGTAGCGTTCACTGCTGGGGGGCTCGTCCCCGAGCAATTGCTCGAGAAATCACCCCTGCGGACTGCTGTGGTCACCCGTCGCCGAGACCAGCACGCGTTGACGAGGGATCTTGGTGGCGGGGATGTGATATGCGTCAGTATAGTAGATGGTGGCCGCGTGAGGATCCTGACGGAAATCGTCGCGCCAGTCTTCGAGAATCGAGGCGTCGATGTCGTGCTCCTCGTTTTCCTCGTGCGTCGTGGGCAACCGACGTAGTCTGACTGCATGTAACGCGTGATCCTTCCGACGGGGCTTCTGATGCTGCCAGCGGGGCTTTGGAAATCTGGCCCCCGTCGCGATTGATCCCGCCTGGCGGCTGCGCGCCGCGCAGAGCAGTTCCCGTGGAAGGGGGAGAGAAAGATGGGCAGTGAACAGATAAAGAGCACTGGGCAGAATGATAGCTTAGCCCTCGCTGGACGGCCGCAACTGCTGCTGTTCGGTCATCCGAACACTTGCTAGATCTCAAAAACAAAATCCCGGAACGGTGCGTTCCAGGCTGGATCCTAGTCCGGGTGTGTGCTGCTATCGCTGCCTCCATAACGGTGCACCTGTTCGATGGCGGTTCCAATGCGCAACCATATCATGGCGTATTTGATCAAGCCCACACGTTGCCGTCGTGAATTGTGAGGCGCTGGCGCAATTTTGCGCGCGGTCTCTGTCACTGTGGGTGTGGCCAAGCGTCGCGGTTGGAGGCTAAGCACGTTTCCCCGCGGCATGTTTCGATGCTTGTGTAATGAAGAATTACCGAAGCTTTCTTCCAAAATAATTGCAAGCCTCATGAATGTGACATACTTTACCAGTGGCATTGTGTTCAACTTTTCCCGTTTGAAATACTTCACACATGAATCTATATATTGAACCGCTTGTGTCGCCTCTGATGGTTCGAGTTTGTCCAAACTCCATGCTCGTCTCGATAGGAACAAATCGTTCCAGACTTATAGACGGGGGTGACAGCAATCACGTTGATCGTCCCAAACAGAAACAGCAGTGGAACGCCAAGGATGCGAGCCGACCGCGCTACCAACTCGAAAGCAGCATGGTAATGTTACATGGTGCATTGATGCCTTGTATACTGTAAACGTGGACGTAAAATGTAACGGGTGAATGTCAGGATGATCAGTTCCTTCCCTCTGCCAAGTAGCACCGATCGTCTATCGGTGGTAAAATAGGGAGTGCACACTTTGAGCCAATGGCAGCAAAGGCGGGCGCGATATATCCCCCCAGGCGCGTCCGTTGAAACGTCTGCTCTCGTGTTTTCGGGTGCTCAAGGAAACGGGCAGTCGAGTTGACCGGGCTGCAGATTTTGTCCCCCGCGTGGTGGTGCACTCAGTGTTCTACGATGAGGAACAATGAATAAGAAACGAAGGGACCGTTCTGGCTACGCCAAAAAAACCCAACCTGAGAGGAACGGGGAGGAGGAGGAGGAAAAGAAGCGGAGGCGGAGTCCGGAGGAGAAGGCAGTCCCCCCTCATTCTCAGCCAACCTTCGCCCCCACCCCGCCCCGTATCAGATGAGCGGCGCTCCCCTGCGCTGCTCGGCCCGTTGTCAGCCGCGGGCAGACTTCTTTGCTCAGCCGGTTCCCCGCTCCACTCCCCCAACCGACCCTCGTCCATTCCTCCTCCCCCTTCTCCCTCTCCGCCTCCGCCTCCGCCTCCTCCTCCCCCTTTTCCTCCTCCTCCTCCTCCTCCTCCTCCTCCTCCTCCTCCCTGTCCTCCTTCTTGTTATTGTCCCTCCTCATTATCTTCCTCCTCCCCCCCCTCCTCTTTCATCCCTTCCTCATACACACATTCCCACATACATTAGTATAAGGCCTCCTGAAGCTAAGACGCCCGCGAGAGCGCGAGCACAATAGCGCACTGTGCTCCGAGGCCTGCGCCAGAGTGTGGACATACCCTAGGGGCCTCGAGACGGCGCAAAGAGCATCGTGTTTCGCGCTGCGTGTGATGCAGAACACGAGTTTTTCGGGCGACCGAATTGGAACGGCGGAGTCCCTGAGAGGTCAAGAACTCCAGAGCCAGATAATCAGGAATTCCTATCTCAGTCGGAAGCCCACTGGTGCGTGTCAACCCAAAGGCTTTTCAAGGCATGGCCGCAACCCCGCATTGGGGTATTGGGATACACATGCTCCCCGAGGGCTCGCTCCACCGCGGGCAATGGCATCAAGCCCCACGAACTAGCTCCGCCACGGCCACTGGCAACAGATTTTGGCAATCCCATTTTCTTGAAGCATATGTCCCGTTGTCGGACAATTACTGGTTCCTAGAAGCGCGGATTTGTCGTAAGCTGCCCCCAGTCTCCAGTGTTTCGCCGATGACCGCCACGTCCCGAAGGATGGGTTCAGGTGCCTTTTAAGCCTAGGGCGAGCTTGGGAATCCTTCTGCTGCTCCTCATCCTCCCCTTCCTGCTGCTCCCCTTCTCTCTGCTGCTGCTGCTGCTGCTGCTGCTGCTGCTGCTGCTAATGCTGCTAATGCTGCTCTTCCTCGCCCTCCTGACAACATGAAGAACATCAGACAAGAAATTGCGCACGCTCTCTCTCCCTGACCACCAGGATGCACACCCCGACAAGGTACAGAACCTTCAGGACGAAAAAATACAGAAAAATTGTGCTCCCGATCCGCCTCGTTCTCGGCATGAAGGAGGCAAGTGCGAAGGACACGGGCCCAAGCCCCCCCCCCAGGGACTCTCCCCCGGGGGGCCGGCTGCTCACCCCGAGCCGCTTCCTGAGAGTCCTGCGGCCCGTGGAGGTCCCAGGAAGGCCCACAACTGCGAAAGAGCACACGACCCCTTCCACTCGGGCCCCCTTTCCCCATATACTGGCGGTCCTCGTCCGCCTCCTCCTGCTCCTCCGCCTCCTTCTCCTCCTCCTCCGTCTCCTCCTCCTCCTCCTCCTCCTCCTCCTCCTCCTCCTCCTCCTGCTCCTCCTCCCCCTCCTCCTTCCCTTCCTCCTCCTCCTCCTCCTCCTCCTCCTCCTCCTCCTTCGGCTACACGCTGGCATGGCCCCAAAAGGAGCAGGACCTCGGGCACGCGGCCTGCCGGTCGCTGTTGGTCGGCCGGTATCGGAGGTTGGGGGGTGAGATCGCAGTGAAACGGAGACCCCCCACCGGGAAATCGGTTTCGGTTTCGTGTTTGTGTCGTGCGTGCGGGCGAGGCGAAGCTGCGCGTGATCCTCCTGTAGCTAGGCCGAAGTAGGAGCGAAAGTCCGTTCCCGTCCGCCGGTGGCTGGGAGGTGTCCCAGTTGGGCCGTGCGGTGTCCAGGGTGTCGGGTGTCAGTAGGAGCGAAAGTCCGTTTCCCGTCAGCTGGTGGCTGGGAGGTGTCCCAATTGGGCTAGGCGGTGTCCCGGGTGTCCTGGGTGTCGCGTGGTGTCCCGGTGAGTGAGATCGATAGTGAGATCGATAGTGAGATCGATGTGGTGCCCGAGGTGTTCCGTGGTGTCCCGTGGTGTTCCGTTGAGTGAGATCGATAACGAGATCGATACTGAGATCGACAGGTGTTTCGTGGTGTCCCGTGATGTCCCGTTGAGTGAGATCGATAGTGAGATCGATAGTGAGATCGATATGGTGTCCCGAGGTGTCCCGTGGTGTCCTATGGTGTCCCGTTGAGTGAGATTGATAGTGGGGTCGATAATGAGACCGATGGCGAGATCGAGAAGTATTTCGCGGTGTCCCGTGGTGTCTCGTGATGTCCCGTTGAGTGAGATCGATAGTGAGATCGATAGTGAGAACGACAAGTGTCCTGTGGTGTCCCGTGGTGTTCCGTTGAGTGAGATCGATAGTGAGATCGACAATGAGATCGATGCTGAGATCGATGTGGTGCCCGAAATGTCCCGTGGTGTCCCAAAAAGTGAGATCGATAGTGAGATCGATACTGAGATCGACAGGTGTCCCGTGGTGTCCCGTGGTGTCCCGTTGAGTGAGATCGATAGTGAGATCGTGAGATCGATAAGAAGATCGATGTGGTGTCCCGAGGTGTCCCGTGGTGTCCTATGGTGTCCCGTTGAATGAGATTGATAATGAGATCGATAATGAGACCGATAATGAGATCGAGAGGTGTTCCGCGGTGTCCCGTGGTGGCCCGTGATGTCCCGTTGAATGAGATCGATAGTGAGATCGATAGTGAGATCGACAAGTGTTCTGTGGTGTCCCGAGGTGTCCAGTGGTGTTCCGTTGAGTGAAATCGATAGTGAGATCGATGGAGTCAGATGTTGGTTCCCCCCTCTCTCTCTCTCTCTCTCCCCCCCCCCACACAACCTCCTCATCACCCGAAGGGTGGTCGTATAGGTACCTCTGCTCGTGGCCCCTGCGCCTTGAGTCTGGGTCCCCCGCACCCCCCCCGAAAACCGTGCATCCACCGTCACTCCGGCGAAGGGCCACTCCCACGTGCAACGAGCACATCCCGAGTCGTTCTTTGACGGTCCTCTTCGGCCCAGGAGTGGCTCCTGGAGGCCGAGCACGAAAGAGAACCTGCCGTCGTGACTTGCTCATGACCTGGCGGGGCTCTCCTCCTCTCCTTCCCGCCTCCCATTCTCCCCACCCCTCCTTCTGTTCTTTTCCCAACCCTCCAGCGTTGTTGGGTCCACGTTTCGGATCCGCACCGCCGCGCGCACGCCTCGCTATCCACTCCTCCCCCTGTCCGTCGTCCCCCATGCACGCTCCGCCCATAGCGTCACACCCCTCATCTGGATCGTGGCCCCATTCGAAGCTCCACTTGTGGCCCCAGTGAGGGTTCTCGCATGCGTCCCACGCCCACTCTGGCACACCTCTCACGCGGACCGTGGCCCCACAGGGAGCTTCACCTGCGGCCCCTGTAGCGTGTGTTCCCACGTCTACCTCGTGGCGCCATACGGAGCTCCAACTACGGCCTCAGCGAGGGCGTTCACATGCGCCCCCCCGCCCATTTCGGCACCCCCCTCATGCGGGCCGTGGCCCATCAGGAGCTTTGCTTGCGGTCCCAGTTTGGGGACTCGCATGCAAGCCCACGCCCATTCTGGCACACCCCTCACACGGATCGAATCTCACAGGGAGCTCCGCTACGGCCTTGACGGGAGCGTTCGTATGCAAACCTCCGCCCAAATCGGCACATCCATCACATGGCCCACCTGGAGTTCCACCTCCAACCCCAGTGGGCCCATTCCAGCACACACCTCACAAAGATGGGGCCTCCCAAGAGGAGGAGGAGGAGGAGGAGGAGGAGGAGGAGGAGGAGGAGGAGGAGGACCCGAACTTCGTCCATCCCGCGGCGCGTCGGATGTGAGGGGGCCACGCCCTGCGCTAAATACAACCACGTAAGCCTGGGCCCTTCGCCGAACGTTTTTCCGTGCCACTTCACACAGACAGCGATACTCACGACGAACACGCCGCCCGATCAGTTAACCTGTGGCAATGTTCGTGCGGTGTACGCATGACTAACTTTGTGCAAGAGTTACCTTGACCGGAGGGGGAGGCAACACATCAGGGTGACACTTACGCCAGAAAGCGGAAAGAGGTGTTCTCTCTCTGCCCCATAGACGGAAAACGCTGACGCGCGAGAGCAGAATCGATCCCCCGAGCCATGGCAGCAGAAACCGCCCTCACGAACCTCTTGGAGGTCGGCAACAATCAAAATCGGTCGGGCGATGGCGGGGAATTCCTTTAGGCCATCGTGCGGGTCGGGGTACGACTCATCCATGAGAGCCCCTTAGTGAGGAGCTCCAACTGGTAGATCACTAGATTAATGTCAAGACTCTTCGCCTGGCCTTTGAGGCGCAAGCATCCGTCGAGGAATTCCTCGATCCCGACCCCTCCATTGTCGTTGCGATCCATCAGCTTGAACAGTGTGTGCGCCTTTCGAATATCCAAATCAAGCGTTTGGAAATAGGCCTTCACGCGATTATCATGTAAGTGAGCCTTGAACTCCTCCCACGACAATTGTCCTGACTTGTCAGCATCCGCCTGTAAAAAGAAGGCCTTGATATTGTCAGCGTAATCCTTGAGGTTCTTCATTTCGTCATCAACCATACGGTCACGATCCCTTGCGGCAACGCTAGAAGTCACGTCGACGACTGTACCAATCACAACGTTGAGAACCAAGAACACCATAAAATATCCGCAAAGAACTTGTCTTCGGCGTGTCCGTCTGGTTGAACGCGCCGGGGGTCGCCACGGCAGGATCCGCCAAGAAATTCGGCGCCGTGTCCCCTGACAAATTGAGGCGTGGTAGAATGTCCAATGCTGCCCGGCCAAATTTTACGAAGGCCGCCTTTTCTCCGCACGGTTCCGCGTGCACCACCCCCTCCCGAGGCTCGCTGGGCGCCACGACGAATCCACGACGAACGCGCGGAGAGACACCCCGACACGAAACGGAATAATGCGTGTGACAATTTACGGCTTCCCGAAGCTTCGGGGCACGAGGTCACACATATTACGGCATTCTGTGCGTTTATCTAACAATCGCCACCCGTGATGCTGGGCTAACCGAGAAGGGCATGGCAAGCCGTACCTTACATTGCGCCTAAGGGGTACGATAATATCCCATAGCTGATCATCCACAACGAGTAACAGAGAGGTCAGGAACGTGATCGGAAAATGCACCATCGAACGCTTTCCGTTACTCAAATGTGATATAACCTCGAATGCGAAGTCATCCGATTCTAATGGCAGGCCGCTTGAACCAAGCGGCGGCGGGTGCAGGCACAGTGCTCGCGATGCTCGCCTTCGACATCCGTTCAAAATCAGGGGCAGAGCAGCCGAGCGCCGAACCGCGTCAACATTGACTTTATCAGACACTGCAACAAAATTAGGCCAGCCGCGAGAAGTCCCACCGTAAAGCTGGCGCTGCAGTGCGCGTGCAAAGGGCAACCTCGCTGCTCCAGCTGAGCAACGAGCCCACCCAAATTACATATATGAATGCGCAGAGACAAGGCGTCATAACACACCGTCAGACACCAACGCTTGTCAACCACAGGGTCCGTGTCTGGGCAGCAGTGGGCATGTGACCATGCTGGCTCTTATGCCTCACCCGCCAGTCCGATATGGGGCAGGCTCAGAGGATGCTGTCTGGTTGGCCCTGCACGGTGAATGCCGCTTTAGTTCTTATACCTGAACGACTGGATACCCGCCATCTCTTGTCAAAGCAAGTAGCCGTCAACACAGCCTTTGGTATGTCCTTCGGCCATCGTCGCACGAGTACCACATCGCTGCATGCTACGCGCGATGCATATCTCTATCATGTGTCAAATCCATCTGACGTGGCCGAGGAGGATGCGCGCAAAGGGCCTCTTGAGACATATTCGGCATCAGTGGTAAGTGCCGCCTTGATGCATTGACCACCCTTCCAACGTGGTCTTGGGATGCGTCGGGCTAAGGGGTCCTAGCTCTTGCAACGTGATGATGGTTGGGTCGCAGTCCTTGGCTGTGGACTCGCTAGAACGCGCTTGTAACCGACGTAATGTACACTGCGCGTCCACACGGTGGACAAACGATTTTCTGCGAGGCGTGCGTCCACGCAGTAGTAGGTTGGAAATTCGGATGCCATGCCCCTCACCGTCGTCGTCTGCGTCGCCGTGAGAACGACGGTCACATGAGTCGTCGTGTATGCCCACCTTTCATGTCGGAGTCGTTGTTTGACATGCGTTCTTCTTGGGGCCTGGTAGCATCTTCCGCGTTGCGGCGTTGAGTCGTCGCACTCGAGCGCTGGTCGGTCCTTCGAGGCGTTGCAGAGGAGACCGCGTGCACCAATGCACCACACTCGGGTGACCAACGCGAATGATAACGCACCGCGTAAGCTGATAAACATACCTCATACAATTGTCCTTGCCTTTTGTTCTGCTTCTGCTCCCGTCCGTTCTGGGTGTTGCATGAGGCGAAGTTGTCGAATCGATGCATCTTTGTCAGGCTGGACGTGGCCGTCCTCGGTCTGGGTTTACCGCGCGGTGCAGTTTGTGTAGCTGTGCTCGCTGAGCTCGCGAGCGCCAAGCGTGCCCTCCGTGCGCTTGATGTGCTTGCCAAGTCCATGTTGTCCTCGACCCCTGTCATATTTCATCGTCTACGTGCTCGGCTGAAAAGATGCGCTTGGGCTTTCCTCGAACCCCCCGTCGGGGGAAGCTGGTCTGAGAGTGCAGGCCCCGCGTGATGTTCCTGAATTTCTTCGAGAACACCCGAGGGACGTCTCTGACGTTTGTTCCTGGCTCTGAGCGCTGTAAGCAGTGCCTTGATTCGTCGTGGCGCAAAACTCGGTCGTGTTATTAGCGCCGATACTAGGGCCGGTGGTAGTGCGAAGCGTGCCGTGCGTTCTTTCTCACGAACCGCTGCAGACAGCTCGCGATGCGTCGGGCCCCTCGAGACAGCCTTATCCATGTCCACAGCCGCAATGGTCCGCGACATCTTGCGCGCGGTCGCGGTTGCGAGCAGTCTCTGGAAAACGCGCCAAGGCAGTGCACGAAAATATCTCCACGCCGACGGCCTTGACATCCATGAGAACGCGAGGTCCGAGGCGTGGCCTGATGGTGCGGTCCATATTGCCGTTTTTTTTCGTCTGTCGAGAATTTCCCTCTGTGCGCGTCGATGTTCGACGCGTTGTTTATTTCCTGCATAGTGAAACAACTTTTGTCGAACCATATCTTGAGTTCTGTGCGCGGTTGGATATCTTGGCGGGGCTTGAATATATCTTAGCCTTCACGAGGAGGTCGCCTTCCCGGCGACGGCGGCCCTCTTTGGCGCGGCAGACGCGCGCGCATCGTAGTGGCACGGCCGTCGTTAAGTGGTTTGCGCTGTAGTCCAGTCAGGACAACTCTGGACATGTCTGCGGCGAAGCAGAGCTCGACATGCTGACCGCGTTCGTTCGAGTCCAGATTATGGATTTCGTCGCGGTTAATTGTACGCGCGGGGGCGGGATGCGTTTTTTTCATGTCGCCCCGGCGCTGTTTTTGCAAGTTGCCTTGCCCTTCGCTGCCCATGTCACGGGCGCGCTGATTTCGGCAATCATCTCAGCGGGTGCCGTATACAGGGGTTCCAGTGAAGCGTTCTCAATGAATGCCTTTTCTTTGGGCGGGCCTTCGAAGCCAGCCGCGGGCTCCCAGGACTTGCGGCGTCAGATGGTTCCTGCGTAGGTTCCTTTGGGGCGGTGCCTTCCTGCGGCGAAGTCGTTGTCGCGATATGCGGGCGTGCAAGTATTAGAGCGAGGCGGCCCTGCGCGCGGCCGCCGCGCGTTCGATCCCAAAGTAACTCTCGGTTAGAAAGTGCATGGCTTCGGCGAGTGCCGGCTCGCGGTGGTCATCCGCAGATGCCCCTGCTTCGCGGGCACGTAGTAGAACGCCATGGCAAAATTCCCCGCAGGTAGGCTCGCGAGGAAGGACAGTGCTGCGCGCGTGGCCGTCTTGTTGGAGCCGATCTTGCGGGCGATGAATGCATCTGCGTACAGCGTGTGGCGCGAGTCTGGATATTGTGCCGGAACTTCTCGGTCGCCGACTTTAACTACTGCCTGACGTCGGTATGGGTCGTTGCGCATGACTGGGCATGGTCCATTCCATCCTCTCCAATCGTCAGCGGTGGTAGGTCGGTGGTAGTCCACGAGGTCACTTGGCTGGTATTTGTGTTGCCCAGCTGGTGTCGTTTTGGTGCGCGCGGCCTAGTTGGCCTTTGCAACTGCGGTGGCCTGTGTAATGGTCTCAATACTTACCTCCCTGATCTTTCGTTCGCGGCTGTGGTCGGATATTTCCGCGCATTGCTCGTGATTTCTCACTGGTAGATCCGGGGGGACAGGTTGGTTGGCGGCCGTGCGCTTCTCGATGTGGAGATGCGCTGTTGTGGAACGCGAGCGCAATGCGAATGAACATCGCGCAGTAGTCTCGGGAGCACAAGAAGACTGCTAAGTCTCCTGAGCTCCTCTCCCGTGGCATGCAGTGTTTGTATTGGAATGCCGCTGCGTGCTGCAATCGTGGTGGTGCGTTGGCCTCGGGCGCGGACGCGAAGTCCCGCGCCTTTGAGCCTGGGGGTAGCCTTGGCGGCGTCGTTGTTCCATGCGCTTTCGCCGTCGGAACAGAATGGCTTAGCTATGCCGTGTTGCATCCGACTTGGTCGATGGGCGTCGAGGATAATGTGCGTCGCCTTGTCGGTTACCTGTTGACCAGCCGCCCATCGCATGCGCTGGTTGATGATGTAAGAAATGGCTGTTTATGGAACGTCAAGTCACATCCAACTTCTGCGTGGAAGTTACCTGGCAGACTGGTAGATATTATGGCTGCGCTGCCAGGCTTCTCAAAGGATCGACGTTCACGACATGAGTCGAATACGCCCTTGATCATGTTGAGGCGTACGGTGCCCAGCCCCGCCGTGGACAAGATCATGTGCATTTTGGGCTGTGAAGCATGATGCCGACCTAGGTGGAGTTCCACAAGCTCTTTAACACAAAAACTGCATTGAAGCTGCGTAGGTCCTGGAGACTTGCTTGAATGTCGAAGCGAGTCCAGTCAGGTAGTCTCGCGAGTGGCCGTGCTTCTGCCTGCGGCTGAGGTGTTGGCGGTGCTGCGCCACGCTGCCGGCGCCCGCGCCTTCCCGCCACTTGTCGATGGTGAGTGCCCCTTTGCGTCGCCGCTGCGTTCCTCGTGAAATCCTCGGGCCATGTCGCAGCGGCTGGCGCCTGCTGTTGGACCGTCGCCGCCAGGGTTTCCACGTGTAGGTAGTGGTGCGCGTGGTCGCGCGCGTGGTCGCGCGGATTCTGCTGCTGGCGCAGCTGGCGCCGGGGCTGGCTCTGGCGCAGCTGGCGGGCCTTGGCCGAAACTGTCGGGTAGTCGCCGAAGCTTGGCAAATTGGAATTTGCCTGGCATTGGCAAGTGGCCCTGCACGTTGCTTCCGTAATGTCAACTTTCGATTGACAAGTCAATGAGGCTCGCGCGAATGAGCAACATTTCCTTGCTGGGCGAATGGCGGGGCGGCGACCGCCAACTTGCAGCGCGGCGCGGCCGTGCCGGTGATCGGCGCCAGCGCCCGGCCGCCAGCGAGCCGGCGACAGGGGCAGCGCGGGCAGGCGGGGTAAGGCGTTTTCACTAAGGGGAGGTCTGCTACAGGGAGGTTTGTCCACCGCCGATTTTCCTTCTTCGATCGCCGCGTGGGCTGACTG